AGTTACATTAAAGCTTTGAAGATGATGGATCTTGTTTGAGAAGCTTCAGAATGGTCAAGGGATCTCTTTATCTGATACTAAAATCTGAAGTGCCTGTGGCTTAAAAGTAAAAAGCAGATAAGTAGTTTTGCAAGTGTTTTTAAAGTCTGAGCAATTTTGGTATTTGTTCGGTGAATCTTCTCATATTTTATTTAAACGTGTTCCCATTTGTAAAATATACTTTAAGGATTTGAAAAGAAGCTGCAGGGACAGAAAGATCTTCGGGCACATTTTAAAAATGTATCCGGTGAAGAAGGCTGCATTGCACAGCAGTGTGTGCAGAAGAACGAAGGCAGAGAGCTGAGAGGAAGGGCAGTGAACTCGAAGGTGGATATTTCTACTGTTAAACTTCAAAGTTTTAAGTGCATTCTTGTGTGCTTCTGTACTGAAATGAAAGCCTACTATTCTGAAACTCTCTTATTTCCCAGCATATTTTAATGGTGGTTTAATGTATGGGGTTTTTTTTATTTTATTTTGTTTGCTTAGTGGTATTTTCTTTGTGAGTTTCTTCAACTGATTTTGGGTGGCATTTCTTTCCCCGACATATTTCTGAAGTTGTAGACTGACTGCTTTTCCAGGCTGTTTTTAAACCTGAAAAACCAAAAGACATTTAAAACATTAAAGTTCTCAGAAAAATATTGGAACTTGATTTAAAAAAAAAAAAAAGCATATATAAATCAAAAAGTAGGAATTTGTTTGTGACTTTCTCCAGTTCACATTCCTGAAATGTTTCACTTTCTGGACTGTTGCTTGTAGTTTGTACATTTGTATTTTTCCCATATGGAATATCCAAATGCCTTCAAAATAGAGTGTCTAAAGTGTTTCCTGTTTCTAGAATGACAGTGTTCAGATCTTCGGTATTGTTGTAGTGTAGTTCAGTGTTTTCAATATTACTCTTCAGAATCCTCTGCAGATGCAAGACATTTATGTGAAAATGGTTTTTAGAACTCTGCTTAAAACCCAGCAAGTGAAGCTGCACCAAAAAGAAAAAAGACTTCCCATATGTTACTGGTTCTGAGTTCAGCAGTGGTTTCAGTGTCATTATTTTCTGCTGCTTTAGTGCAACAGATTGACATAGTTTAAGCTACTGCATAAGATGAAAGAAGTTAGCCCAGGTCATCTTTATTTAGCCCTGTGCCTGTGTTTCTTGTGCGTCTCCCTCCACGCTGAGCTCGGGGTGTGTGTGTGTGTGTATGTGACTGTGGACGTGCTGGCCAGTGACCAGGAGTGCCTGTCACTGGCTCCTCCTCTTGTTTCTCTGGATTATTCCAGCTATTAATTTGAGAAAACTGTAGTAAAGCATAGTAAAATAGTGTAACCTGTAAAAATTCTGAAATTGTTTAGCTCTTTAAAAATATCTATTATGTTACACTTAGGAGGATACTTTGTAAAAGATGTATAATATTCTGACTGCTGAATGCATAATTTAGTGTGTAGAATTGGATGCAAGAATTTTTTAGCACATATTATTTTCTGAGAGTTTAGAATAACATAAGAGAAACTTCTGCTATGTTTAAAGCAATTAAAGGGTAACTAAAGATAGTTAAAAGAAGGGTACATTTTGGTGCTTGCTAGTACATCTTAGATGACTTCGGTCATTGCCCAAACATCCGCAGGAGTTTGGGGTTTTAGATGATTACCTGGCAAAATGAGTTCCCCTAAAGATACCAACAAAATACGTTGTTCTACAACTGGTGTTTATACCACACTAGATATTCTTCAGTTCTTCAGAGGTTTTGGTTCCTTCGCTTAAAATAATTGTTTAGAAAAAACCTTTCTGATGAAAGTGCCCAGAAGGAGGGTTACAGCTTAAATAGTCAGTAATCATCTTTGCGAGGTATTTAAAAAGAGGCAGCACTTGTATGTAATCAATAATTTCCTGTCTTCCTGTTCATCTTCCAGATGAACTTTATTTTTCATGTAAGCTAACAGGCTTTGAATGAAGTTAGAGGAATCTTCCTTGTAACAGGTCTTAAAGTAGGATTGACTTTTGAAGAACTTTGCTTTGTAGCAACCTAATCACTGTTTTAATTCAAAGCACAGCATTTTTTCATGGTATATTTGATCTGTCAGATATAATGGACTTTGACTTGCTCAAGAAATATGACTTGTATTTTTCTGTTTAAATGCACTTGTCAATGGGTTGTCTTAGGGTTGTTTTTGGTATTAGCCATTTAATTATCCCCAAATTATTGAAGAATTGCATAGCTACTCCTAGTTTTCTTCAGTGAGTTTAATTCTTTTTGCTGGCTACTACTTTCCTGGAATAGTGACTGTACTATTTTATTTAAGGTTTTATAAATCTTAAGCCTAACCTAAGCTAGTGCTCTTTAACTAGCAGTAACCAAAGCTGCCTGCCCCGAGGCTGGAGCTGCGGAGGACCCAACCCAGTGAGTGGAAGAGCATGAGGCAGGAGGTCGTGGGCAGCTCCTGGAGGTCTCCTTGTTCTGTCTGCTGCTGCTGCGGGAAGAGGTGGCCGGGGAGAATCAGGAGCTGGAGGTGGCTCCTTGGGAAGCTGCTGCTGCTGCTCTCTGCCAGCAGCTGCCTCCTCCTCTGACTCCCTCTCCTTGCTCAAGTTAGGCCTCCTGGTTTGACCCCTCTTTTCAAAAAGAAAATGGGAGTTTAATAAAAATTGATTATGTTAGGGAATAAAATCAAATCAGTTTGTTATATTACTTCCCTGTCTAGCTTTAAAATCCCTAATTCTGGTAGGAAAGAAAGAAATATATATATATATATATGTATGTGTGTGTGTATATATATATATGTATATATATGTTTCTTTAGTTATTAGTGTTGATTTTTTTGACTTCTTATTGTGAAATATTTGAGAATTTGTTTCCAGTGTTACAACTTCTGAATGTTGTACCAGAAGGAACCGGTCACTGTTTGTATTTTTGTCTTACTGTTATATCTGATATTTCTGCTCTCTCAACTTGGATGTTCCAAAGAAATCTGTTCTGCTTGGTGAGTGAGGAGGACGTAATTGGTTAGAAGAGTGAGGAGCGAATTAGGGTGGACAACTAGTGCTTAGAGCTGAGCTGACTTTTCTGTTTTAACTTGAAGTGACATGATCTCTTGGGGAACACGCATAAGCAATTTTCTAATTAATCTGCTTTAAACAAGAGCTTAAACACTTCACTTGAACACTTCACTGCTAATTTTATGCTTTATTGCCAACATGATACATGATCAGCCAAGTGAGTGAACAGATCCAGCTAAAAGCTTGCTGCCTCCCCAGACCTCACTTCAGGGATTTGCCTTTTGGGGAGGTGACTGATTTGGGGCTGGACTGGTTCCACAACCAAGTTCTCTGTGCTCCATGTGAGTGGTTGTGGAGGCAGAAAGAGGCAGGGGGAAAAGGCAGTAGAAAGGTTGCCTCTAATGAGGTTTGTGGACTCTTTGCCACATTAAAATCATTGCCTGGAATGGAAGAATATGAACTGTTAATGCCAGTGGAACAACCATCTTGCACTTCAGTTTGTGCCAGTAGACTGTGACTGATGGATTTGTGACTGTATCTGTAGCTCTTAAGATGGTTCTGAACTGATGTAGCCAGCAAGTCCATAGTGAAGAGCAAGTCCTTTCTAGGCCCTGTCCTTGACCCTGTTAGTCCTTGAGCTCCCACCACTTTGAGGCAGTGTGGAGGTGCCTGCAATCATAGACTGAGCTGCTGGAGACCCTGCAGAAGGTAATATTTTTCTGCTGATTTATGTCAAAATCAGCAGGTGTCAGTACAAAGCAGCTCCCTGAACACGTGATTTGAGGGCTTGGAGAATAAGGGCAAAATGCTGTAGTCATACCCCTGCTCTCACTCTGCCTGAGTGGCCTGCTCCTGTACTGGCTCAGACATTCAGGCATCCTGCAAAACTTTACTTCTGGCTAGTCCTCGGCTTCCTCAGTGTGTGTCACTGATGATCTGGAGAGGATTTAGTTCTGTATTGCTGGAATGTGTCTTACTAAATCAGTTAGCTGCTGAGAAGTGCACAGTATTGTTCTATGCTGTGTGATGTGTGTGTGTGGGTTTCTTGAATTCTCCTCTGCATTGTCAGGATTAATGTGTGGTGTTTTTTTGTTTGTTTTTTTTAACTGTTTCAGTGAGGAGAGCAGTGAAGGCTTATTTTGTTGTTTGTTTTTTTTCCCTGTGTCTTTTCTAGCTTTAGACATAAGAATGTCTAGAGATGCAAGGTTGGGAGAAGCACCTTATTGCTTTGTGCAATAATCCGTTTGCTTTTCTCATGTTCGATCTAATAAGACTGCTGTGTCTTTCAGCCTGTTAAACAAGAGATCAGAAGCTTAGGGGGAAGTGATCCTCATCAGGGTGATGCCTGAGCATTCTGGTCACATGATATGGCAGATCAGAGTCTTCAAGAAGCTTTATAATAGTGTCTGTTTCTCTGCAAATACAAAATAAAGGTTCCTTCATGAAGAAGAGACCGTGGCCTCTTAAGTACTAGAAGAGAGCAAGAATAGTTAGCACAGCACAGGAAAAACTAGAGCTATAGCTGTCACTCACTTTGTGTTAGCTCTTCATGGGCCATGTATTCACTGTGAGTGTTAGCTCAAGTGCCTGCGCCCACGTTAGTTAACAAGAGTGACCCTACCGGGGAGGGCAGTTAGCAGAGGAATTGCTTAATGCCTAACTAAGTGTAAACCAGAGTGCTCCCTGCCATGGCATAGCTCTTACAGGAAACGTGCAAAAGTGCAGTTAGAGTCGAAAGGTAATAGTTATTTAGTTCTATGTTCAGAAATAAAATATATTAAAAAAAAAAAAAAGTCCAGTCTCTTTAATGAGAGCAGTCTGTCTTTATAGTGTTTGACTTCACATTGAGTATCATGTGGACTCTGTAGGACAAGTATTGACCAGAGGAAACATAAGCATAGAGATTAAATGTTTATTGCATATTAATTTTATCTGTCATGAACTCAGTATAACTTTGCCTGTTATATTCCATTTCTAGGTAAAAAGAACATACTCTCATGGTACTTATAGAGCTGGCCCAATGAGACAGATCAGCCTAGTTGGAGCAGTTGATGAGGAAGTGGGGGATTACTTTCCTGAATTCCTTGATATGTTGGAAGAATCACCTTTCTTAAAAGTAAGGAGAGAAAGCAATGGGGTGGCTGGAAGGGGGCAATACTCTTTCAAATTTTGTCACATGAAAGTGAGCGATATTTGCTTAGATATTTTGGAGTTGCATCATAAATGTTTTAATTGTCAGGTACAGGCTGCTTTTAAAAAATGCTTTTCAAGTAACTCTCTTCAAACTGTGGCTTGTATTTCCTATTAGTGTACACTGCCGTGGGGAACACTTTCTAGTTTAAAATTAGAGAGTCGTAAAGACAGTGATGATGGTCCCATCATGTGGGTGCGTCCAGGAGAACAGATGATCCCTGTGGCTGACATGCCAAAGTCACCTTTCAAAAGGAAGAGGTATGTTGAAATACTCGTGCTTGGTGAGTGTCTGGTCAGTGTTTGTTCTTTCCCAGCTCTATTATCTGATCGCTTTACTGGCTGATATCTTAGTTTAAGACATAATTTTAGTGGTTATCTTGGTATAAACTTAGTAAATCTTGATCTCAAAATAAACTCTCAACTTGTTCTGTTTTGTAAGGGTTTTGTTTTTTTGCTCTGTTTACTATGTGCCCTGATGATGTGCCAGTCCTCCTAGGATTTTAGGAAGACATGAAGGTTATAGAGCAGTCTACATGCTCTTCATGTTCCTCATGCTGTGAACTTCAGATGCAGGGAAAGGAAAATCACGGGGAAATACAAATAGGCTGTATGCAACTGCTGAGATTAGAATTGTCACGACACATTTATTGCAACACCTCTGTGTTTGTATTTATATGTATATGTATGTATATATTTACATGTGAACCTCAGAAAACCAGGTATGGTATGATCTTTAGAGTTCTCTAGGTATAAGGGCTTCAGTCGTATGAAAGGTGACACTTGCAGCATTAAATACTGTCTTTAAACCTTGCTGTAGTGTTAGATATAAGTACAGGCTTAAGAGGAAGAATGTCCTCTGCAGAACTTGCTGTCATTTCTCGTATGCTGTCAGTTTATTTTGGAGCTCTTCTCAAAATTCAAATATCAAAAGGACACATACAAGCAATGGAAGGTTGGATGACCCAGGAAGAAACTAAGTGAGAACAGGTTAGGTTAGGAAAGCCAAAACTCACCTGGAGTTGAATTTTGAGGGATGTGACGGGGCAGGAAGGCAGCCTTCTGCAGGCATGTCAGCAGTGAAAGGAAGATGACGGAAAACACGGCCAAGACCATCACTGGTGTTTGTCTTCACCTCAGTCTTTACAAGTATGGATCTTCAGTCTTCAGGAATTCCAAGTTCTTCAGACCAGAGGGAATGTCTGGAGCCAGGGGGAATTATCTTTGGAGTAGGATCAGGTGAGGGAATAGTTGAACTGGATGTACACAGGCTGATGGCCCCTGATGGGGTGTGCTCACAAGTGCCGAGTGAGCTGGCTGATGTCTCTGAATGATCATGGCATTTGGGACAAGCTCCTGAGGACTGGAAGAAAGCAAATGCCCTGTTACCTTCCAGAGGGTAGAGAAGCAAGATCTGGAGAACTCACTTTGCTTCTGAGAAAGGTGATGACAGGAAAGGGTCTTGGATCTGCCTGGATTTTCGAAGGAGGATTCATGTCTGACCACCCTGAAAGCCTTCTGCATCAAAATGACCTGCTTGGTGGATGAGTGGAAGGTGGCTGAACCACGAGTGCTGCATCTGATCCTGGGCTCCCCAGGACAGGAGGGACAGAGATCAGTGAAGGGCCGTGAAGATGGCCGAGGGACTGGGGCCTCTCCCTGTTGTGTGAGGAGAGGCTGGGAGTGCTCAGCCTGGAGAAAAGGCTTGGAGGGCTCTTGTCAACGGGCCTAAATATCTGATGGCAGTTGATGACAAGAGATAATGGGCACAACCTGAAACACAAGAAATTCCACTAAACACAAAGACAAAAGTCTCTCTTATTGTTAGGGTGGTTGAGCACCAGAACGGGTTGCCCAAGAAGGTTGTGGAGTTCCCATCCTTGGAGATGCCCAAAACTCAAAAAACTCAACCAGCTGTGGTCTTGAGTAGCCTGCGCTAGTTTAGTGGGAACAGGTTGGACTAGACGGTCTTGAGAGGTCCCTTCCAGTCAATAATTCTGTTTTAGGTGAGTGTTCACTTTGGCATTAGTAAAGTGTTATGGTCATATAATGTAGATTCAGGCTGGCCAAACATTTTTGTCACTATCCCTGCTTTGCTTTTCTCCTTCTGTTTTCATTAAATGTTAAGCAAGTTTTTTGCTGCTTTCAATTTCATATCCTACAAATTTTCACTAAATGTACATGCACCTTTTCCTAGCTGTTTGCTGGGAAAATGAATGATTTGGGAAGAGGTGAAGTAGTGTGTGTGTGTATATATGTATATATATATATTTACTTATTTGTATAAAACCCGTATGGTAAAACATATTTTCTTCTTATGCAGAACTACCAATGAAATAAAAAACTTGCAGTACCTACCTCGAACCAGTGAGCCCCGTGAAATGCTCTTTGAAGACCGGACACGAGCCCATGCAGATCACATAGGACAAGGTTTTGAACGGCAGACTACAGCTGCTGTGGGAGTGCTGAAGGCTGTGCACTGTGGAGAGTGGTATGTTGTGTCCTTGAAAAATATTTCCTTGAAATTCCGTTTATAAATAGTAGGAGGAGTGAATAAGTTAAAGCAGTATACTAGACTTAAAGGAGAAATAATAACTGCTGGAAGCTCCCACCCTGATCTGAGCTAGATATATTCCCTTTGCTAGATCGCTTTGGTGTGTGGTTGAAACAAAAAACAAACAAACAAAAAAACAAAAAACAAAAACAAAACAACAAAAAAAGGCCTTGCCATGGTAGTTTAACTAATAGTTCTAATTGAGTTGATATAATTCAGTTAGAGTAAAAACTTTTTAAGTCGTATTTCATTTAGTGTGTATCGACTGACCTGAATTTCTGTGTCTGAGATGCACTTGGCCTATTGGCAATTCTTGGCACTTTCTGGAGATGAATAGAGTTTTTGTTCTTCTGCTTCTAAGTAGTGACTACTCTAAGCCTGATGTATTACTGGTAAATCACAGGAGAAGAATCCTGTGGGAGGCTGTATGATATTCTTTAGTCTCTCCTTCCCACATGAGATGAAGGAAATTAATCTGGGTTAGTAGAAACTGCTTATATTATATTCAAATAAAAAGCCCCTGGCACTGATCTGAATCTCTTTTCAAGATCTTGTAATCTTGGTGTGGGAGGATGACATTGGTTAGAGGTTAGTTTTTCCTACTGCAAACAAACAAAATAATCCGCTTTTGCTCTTTATATTTTCATATCTAGGATTTGTAAGACTTGAATTCCCTTTGGAGGAAATGATGCAGATGTGTGTGACAGTGTGTGAATGCACTGGGACAAGTTTGCAAGGAGAAGTGGATAGTTCCAATGTTAATGTGTTTCTGTTATGGGCCTGGGGGCTTGCAAGTTCCCCCCTCTTCAGTTTGGTATCAGCTGGGGCTCAGCTTCCTGCTGGCCACAGCTCTGAGAACTGGACTGGGTGAGGACCTGCCTGCTTTAAATGACACTTGACACCTAAGAGAAAGGGGCACTCAAAGCTATCAAAGTTTGTGGGTACTTTTTTGTCTTTAATGTAGTGCCTCTGGAAACTAAAAATTTAAATTGATGACAATTTAAAGGTGTATGGCAACTTGTCATTCCAAAGTAAGATTTTTCTCCCTTAGAAACTAATGCATGTTCACTTATATTTAGAAAAGACCACTTTTTTTATTCTTTTAAAATTATAACTTGCATAATTTCTCCCAGAGGGAGTCTAATGAATTGAATTAGTTTTTATATTTATTTATATTAGTTTTTATAAAGCAATTACATATATATAGAGGTATATATGTTAAAATAAATAATTTTAAAAGTGATCTGAAACTAGTCAAAATTAGACAAAAATTCTGCCCAACCAACTTCAGAGTACTTAATTAGGGGGGGGGGGAAAACTTTAAGAATGTTGTTAAAATTTACATTTTCAGTTTTCACATTGAAATATAGAATAAAGTTTAGAGTTTGCATATATTGAGGAGGAAAATGTATACAACCAACACAGAAAAATACATATATTTCAAGTTTGATTTGATCTTGAGGATAATTTCTTTTTCCTTTCGACATGCTTGTGTATAATTTTGAAAAAGAGCTCGTATTCCTGATACGAGGAGCATTAATCAGGGTTTATGATAATGAAGCATCATTGTTTAATGCAACTTAAAATTACTTTTAGCTGTTATTTTTCTTTACCATAATTTTTCAGCTGTGAGTTAATTTATTTCAAAGGAAGAGGAATGTGGATGGAAAATTTTAAAAATCAGTTTTTTAAAATCCATTTGTGTTCTGTGACAAAACTAAAGCTGGGAGATAATTTACCGGTGTTTAAGACCACTGCAGGAATCAAAAAGCCCATCAGTGATGGAAATCTCTACAGAACAGTCACGTTCTGGTTTTTGTGAGGGAAGTCAACCAAGTCCTAGACTTGCTGATCTCATTCAGTTGTATGTATGGAGAGTGGAAACAAATGGGCTTTGCAGAAAAGCTTTGTAGCACTCCAAGGGGAACACACAGGCAGAAAATCAACGTTAAGTTGCTTCCCTTCCCATTATTAGTGAACTCTGAGAAGTGCTGCTCAGATTGCTGATGTGACTCCTGCCCCTATTTTTTCTTTTCTTTTTTTTTCCCTTTTTGCACTCTTTATGAAACATTGTATAGTGTGGGGTAGTTGCTGGACCATAGGGAAAGCACTTGTCCTTGCTGATAAACACTAGGGTTGTAAAACTGGTGGCTGCTTGAGTTGAACTAAAGAAGGGGACTCCTCTGCTCTCCCTGGTACAGCCAATGTCTCTTTTGGATGGCAAGTGTAATTTAAATGGCTAACCCATTTAGAGGGGGAAATGGTGTAATCCAGAAGTTCTTGAAGATTTAAAGGAAATGGAATTTAGTGGTTGATAGACATGTATAATAAGGTAGGATAGATACCTGTATTATTAAGGTGGAATAAGCAGCATCTTTCAGAAAAGACAGGAATAGAATTTTTTTTAAAAGAAATTAACCCTGCTTTTGAGGATAGAGATCAGAACTGGAAACAAAACATGTCATTTGGAAGAACAAAAAATATTTTTTCCCAAAGATGAGTTAGAAGTATCTTATAAAATTAACACATTATGATCTTGTTTATGTCAATGTTAAAAAGTTGCTGAAGTGCTCTGGATACGGTTGGCATGCATACCTATGAAACTTGAAATCATGGGAACTTTGGAGGTTTTCACTTGGGAGGAATTTGGGGGCAAGTTTACATGAAGAGCCAAAACCATCCTCTCCTGCTGCAGCAGCAAGACAGCTCTGAAGGTTGTATTTCAATGCATGAAGTTTTTAGTGTCTCTCTAAGTGGTCATGGGAGACTGTTTAATATCACCAGACTCCAAGAGATCAGGCATACTGATGGTAGGAACCTGCAATTTGGTTCCTACAAAAAAAGAGAAAGACTTAAAGTGACAAAAAGCTGTTCAAGCATCTCTGTAGTAGGGACTTCTGGAGTTTCTTTAAAAAAAAAAAAAAAAAAAAAAAAAAACTGTGTTATGAAGAGCTGATAAACTGATGAATAACGTCGCTAATGTGTTTGCTGCCAGTGATCAGAGATGCTTCTGTGGACTTTTTACTTTCAGTATTTAGCTGCTGTTTGGGAATGTGTAGAACCAAAAGGTAGGGAGATGTTTTACTTTCAGTCTTCAGTTTTTATTGTAATCTTTATTAAATGCCTGATCTGGAAATTGTCCTCTACCTTAAGTTGTTGAACTGGGATTTTTTTTCCTGAAAAAAGTCCCAAACTTCCTTTTTTTTTTTTTTTTTTTTTTTTTTTTTTGCCTCACTGAGGTCATGACCTGAATAAACTCGTCTCTTCAGTTTAAAAAAGCTCCCCAAACTGTAAATTGGTGCCTGTTTCTTAACTGGCAGTAATTCTAGAGATGATGATGCCTCATGGGGGATGATGTAAATGGTGGGTGTTTGTTTGGGAGGAGGGAGAGGGAGGCCGCGGGACAAGACGTGAACTCTCATGAACAACTCAAATACTGAGACAAACGATAACTTAGATTTTGCTCTTTTGTAGCTCTCCAGTGAACACAAATACCCTCATAAAGGGATGTTATGGAGGATGCAGGTACTTGCTGCTTACTAGCATCGTGGCAGTTCAATGTAATTTTGGTTTCATTGTTGAGCCTGAGCAAGGTGCTCAAGGCACTGATACTGAGTGGAGTTTGCTAGGACTAGTCAGGCTATTGCATGGTGGCCTGGCTGTCAGTGTGGCGACAGGGTGAGCAGATCCTGTCTGCATCTGCTTTTCAGTATCAGGAAAGACAGATGTCAGAAGTAACAAGTCTTGTTGACTGTTCATTGCTTCCTTTACCATCACTTGCAAAAAAATTTGTGGGTGACTCATTTGACCAGTTCCACGAGTGTGTGTTGAAAAGTGGCTGTTTTAGTGAATGTTTTTTTTTTTTTCTTCAGAATCTATTTTATGGTAGAGTTGTCACATTTTATTTCTAGATCACTTTTACTTTATCCTTGCCTGCAGTTTGTCTTTATTATTCTCTGTACCTTTTAATTTCAGACCCTGACTCTGCAATCTTATTTTTGGTAGGTCTGAGCAGCCTCGTATAACCAAAGATGTAATTTGTTTTCACGCTGAAGACTTCTTAGAGGTTGTTCAGCGAATGCAGTTAGATTTGCACGAGCCCCCACTCTCACAGGTAAGAACACTATAAACTGTTAATCAGATATCTTCTATATGTCTTAAAGAGTTTTCAACTCTTTTTTTCTTTTTCCTTCAGTGTGTCCAGTGGGTTGATGATGCAAAACTTAATCAACTGCGAAGGGAAGGCATTCGATATGCCAGAATTCAATTATTTGATAATGACATTTATTTTATTCCGAGGAATGTCGTACACCAGTTCAAAACAGTTTCAGCTGTATGCAGCTTGGCTTGGCACATCCGACTCAAGCTGTATCATTCAGAGGAGGAACTTTCTCAAAATACGAGTACTCTCGAAGCAGGAACATCTGCAGACCCCAAGTCTTCGGTTATTGGACTTCAGACAGACAGCAGAATTTGTACAAGCAAAAATACCTCCGGAGACACCAAATTTTCAGATGCTCTGCAGACAAAGTATCTGCAGCAGGAACTTACATCAATAAAACATGAACCTATTGCATCTCACCGAATAAAGGAAGAATCCATGAATGTTGATCTGGCTGGAAAGACAGTGGCACCTAATGACACGGAGGGTCAGAATGTTCAGACCAGACTGGATCACACTGAACTGACACCATTTAAGTTTGAAGCGGATTCTAAACTTGAACCTGGCAACAAGGACATAAAAGACAAGTTATGCCCCGGAAGTCACATACACCCGGATGATACTAGACAACACAGTTCGTCATATCCAAATCTGCATGGACAAAGAGAGGATGACTTTTTGTGCTAAATTTGTATATATGGTTTTAAATTCCTTTTTAAACTTAATGACGTAATAATGTAAAGATTCATAAATTCTGTGGGGCAAGTTTGTGACTTGCCTTCGCATCTGTTACAGAAAATAGTTATGTAGCTTTGTAACATTCCTCAGTGCCTGTCCATAACTGTGAAGTATCAAAGCACTTAGGGCCAGATGCACTGTAAACACTGCAGGTTTAACATAAAGAAGTCTTTAAATGATTTTGAGTTGTAGGTTTAGAGTAGAGCTGACATTTAACATATATATTTTTTGTAAGATGAGCCAGAATTCTTTTTGACAATTCCAGGCTTTTCCATAGAGCTTATTTATACCAATTTTTTCATTTTAAATGTGTCAGCACTGTAGTGTAAATATCTTTTTTAAAAATCTTTTTAGTGTGATTTATACTGAAATGTGAGCCGCTTAATAAAGGTTCATAATAACAAATTGGTTTTATTTTTGGGTCTGCAAAAAAAAAAAAAAAAGTTCAGTTAAGCTGCCTCTTTAAATGGTTACGTTTCTACCTGCACTAATGCATAGGATGCCCTTACCCCATTCCGGAGTGAGGCGCTGTAGCAAACCAAGGTAGAGCTGAGGCATTCCTTGTAAATTGAGAATATTCAGAGTGAGAAATCAGCCCTCCCTTTGCCAGATTTCTTACTGTTAAAGGCGCTCCCGAGTTCCTGCCGCCAGGTGTTGGTGAAGGAGCAGGGAGGCAGCCCTGCCGCCCGCCATTTTGTGCCGAGGAGCTCGCGGGGCTGTGGCGGCCTCCGCAGCCCCTCTGCGGGGAGCCGGGCCGGGGAGCAGACTCCCTCGGGTGCTCATTTTCTGCCCTTTACAAGCCACAGTTGAGCTTTTACTTCAAAATGTGAAGTGGAGCTGTTTTCTTGAATCACTTGTCTGACTGGAGTAAAGACTATTTCTGACTGTAGAAAGGCCTCCATTTTAGCAGCAACCTGCAACTCCTGAGGCGTGTTTGGATCGGAGTTGCTCCATATGCCGATAGTGCGAGACAATAAAGATGCTCCCCAGTATGTCCAGTAGGAAGATTCCTAATGAGTCTCAGTTCAGAAGTAAAAGCTATTTGATTAGGAAAATAACCATGGCGTCCAAGTTATATGCTCACCTCTCCCCACTCTTGCAGAGCACTAGAGTTGTGTTAAGCCGTTTTCTGAGGGAAGAAGACTTCAAGGCTAAGGTAGCATCCGATGTGGTAATAGCATTCACTCTGTAATTTAACTTATTTAATTATGTGTGTAACATATTGCTGTATAGTTCAAACACATCTGAACTCTATTTCAGGTAGCTACAGATAGCAGTAAACTGCCCTGTAGTGTGTCCTTCAACTAACTATTTAAAACTTAAGATCCTAAGCCTGTTGTTATTTTTAACCCCTCTGTATCTTTGATTTTTTGTTGTTGTTGTTTTTTTGCCATATAACTTACTAAAAGTACATCTTTTTGTGCCCAAGTTATAACCTTTGATACACTTTAATGATCAGTTTTGGCTTCATTTGTAGCAATAGAACAATGTGATTTCTTTTCCAGACGGTGTCTAATCCAACTACCTGAGGCCCTTTCATTGTTGCAATGTGTTTTCCTCGCAAGCTGGTATAATTCAAGGTGTTACTTCATATTTATGCATGGCACTGACATCAGGCATTTAACTTGATGAGTGCCCCGATTTGTTTAATCTGAAATAGATCTGTCAAGGAATTGTTAATCAACATTTGAATTCCTAAACATTACTCCTACATAGCCATAACTATGTATTAGAGAAGCAATAGAAACACTTGGATGTGGCTAATATTTCCCTAAGAGTCATTGCTATTTTCATTAATGCTGGTTAAGAAATTACTACCAGTTCTGCAGCCTCAGGGATCCTGCTTTCCCCTCACTCCATAAGCAAGTGGTTCGTGTGGCATGGTATGGTAAGTTGTATTAGCCCAGCACATTCTCATTTGAAAAAAACAAGTTGTTTCACTTAACTTGTCTTCTCAATAGAAATATGGTCTCAGCTCCCCTTGTGTGTTCTGGGTTTTCTGCAAACTTGCACCCATGAGCTCAGTGGCTTCATGAGCGCACACACAAGTTCGTAGCTCTCTGTTCCCCTTCCATGTGCCAGCTGTCTGAGAACAGGAAGAGTTTCATATTTTAGTTTGCACCAAGCATGCAGCTTTTCAGATGGGTTAGCAGGGGCTCCAGCTTCATCAAATCTAGTCTGCAGATACTGTTTTTGTTGCTCTTGGTTTGTTTTTATTCCATTTAGGTGTTTTTTCATGTTTGTATACTGGTGATCCCATGTTGATTCTCTGTTACAGTCCAAGCATTTTTGATTAGTGCCAGATTTTACTGAAATATATACTTACCCCCGATGGCAAACAATGTTCTGCATCACAGGTCTTGTCCAAGACCAAGAAAATTGCTCATTAAAAATAGTTTAGCATATGTGTCTTTGTACTTCAAGCTTAAAATCCGCCCCCTCTTTTTTTTCCATTTAAAAACCTGCTTAGTGTCTCAGCCTTAGCCATAGCTGCTCAGGTGTGTCTTGGCTCTGCAACTTTGCCTCTTCTGAGCATCCTGATTATTTTTTTTTAACATGTTCTGAGTTTTAAAATATATTGATTCTTGCAGTTTTTTATGCATCCTTTAATTTTTTGAGACAAACTAAATCCCAATTTGTGGACAGAATACCTTGCAAACAGAATATGGACAGTGCTGCAATTAGCAATTGCTGTGAGACTTTCCTTTGTATTTGAAGGTGTAAACATTCTGGGTTGTGTAACTATATTAATATATACTCTTAGTTTGCTTAAAAAAAAAAAAAAAGGTGTTTTTGTCCTCTACCTGTAATGTAATCATTTTGATGCAGTTGCTTTTTAAGAGGGGAGTACCTTTTCTGAGAAGTTTGGCTCCCAAATTGTTCATTTGTCTGACAAAAGTCTTGCTTTGGTTTTAAGTGGTCCTATGCTATAATCTTTATTCCTGCCACATACAACTTCAGACTTTTGCTTCAGCAATAAATCTTTCATGCCTTCTGATGTACTGGAATTAGTCTTTGCTTGTTGCTTCCTCCCTGGATTTTCAGTTTTATATAGGGCTCTTTTTAACTGTTATTTTTAATGACATTTCCCATATTTTAGTTTTCTCCTGGCTCTTTGCTGTTCTGCAGACTGGATAAATCTGCTTAAGACCCATTGACTGTAATGCAGTGGTATTCACATCTGCAGGCTTGTAGTAGTGTCCCTGTTAAAGCCATGATGTACAGAACTTTAGAAATGTTTGCCTAGAGTTTGGCACCTTATTTGTGGGCAGTGACTTCCCTTTTCCCTGCCAACTGGCTTTGTGCTGCAGACAAGTGTTACTCGGTGTCACTTCATCTCCCTGGCCCCAAGATGCCTGCCTATTGACTGAAACGGTGTTTTCATTCGAGCTACCACTGGCATGCAGGTTTTCCCTTGCTTGTGTTGAAAATGTTGATACTGCTTTACCTAAGATATTAATTCTGTGTAACATTGAAGTATTGCTTCAGAGAGTGACTGAAGTAATAGGATGAGAAGGAATTCCTTGGTCACTAAAGTCAAGTTGAATTTTAAGTGGAGTTAGTAGGTCAGCATTGCAAATAGTGTAGAAAATGGAAATGAAATGGTAAGACTACTCTGAAGCAGATCAACAGAAAATCACAAATTTGGAAAATTGATTTCTGCAAGAAATACTGGAAAGAAATCAGTGATCAAATTACTATTTTTCTAGTATTTGCATATGAATTGGTTAAAATAAATAATGTTGAATTGATAATGTAAATTGATCAAAAAAAGAGACCCCTTTGTTTTCTCATGCTCACTGAGAAAATCATTTTAAAGCCAAAAAAGCTGTAATAAAAGTATTGAAGGATAGTAGACTACAACATGAGCCTGTTAGGATAAAAGCTATTAAATTCTAATCACATGATAAAAGTTTCTCAGTTGTAATTTCAGTATTTTTTCTAGTGGCCAGATTTTGTGGAGAAGCTTCCCTATAGGCTGACCTAACTGTGAACTTAATGCAAATTGGAAATGGAAAGGACAATTTTTCATCCACCTACACTTGGCTGGGAATTACAGTATTGAAAATAGGCTTTCTTTGACTATAAGTCCCTGTTTATTACTCATGTGTCCAGCTAATGTTTCAGTACTTTCTTAGTTGGACAAAATGCACTTTAAGAAGCTACATAATAGATGATTTTGTGCAGATTCCACTGAATTTACAGTAAATGTTGGAGAACTTGGGACACCTTGATTCCAACCAGTCACAGCTTCATTTTTTTATTAAAAATACAAATTATTTTATACCATATACAGCTTCTCCCCCAAAAGCAATGATTAACCTCACAGTATCTATGTTACTAACTTGTTTATAATCATCAGGGATATAGGCTCTCCCAACTCGCTATGTTCTAATTACTGTTTTTCTCTGTGCTGTGGTAGGAATATTTGCTTTGGATCTGTGCTCTACTTAAGTGCCACATAAACACTGGTGGTCTTGCGCTCTGGGCATTTTGCTAGATGAGCCTCCTGATGAGGGCATTAGTCTTTGGATAACTTGCTGTACAGTTATGAAAGGCTGATTCAACCAATGAGTAAAGCAGCAGATTAAACTTCTCTTTTTATCAAGGTTTATTTTTGAATGACCATTTTGATAAGTTTTCCTTATCAGCTAATCTCTAAAATGAAATAATTTTAGGTTTACATATGTTGCATTCTGTTAATGGCTTAAGGTCTTCATTAGATTAAACTTAAAATTTTAAGTTCTGTAGGAAATTGTTCAGAATCTAAAATACTTGTAGGACACCTCACTTCTTTTTTCCCATACTCTTATTGAATCAACAGTATAAATAAAACCAAACACAGTCAGATTTAGGGTAACTAAGTCATGCTAGATTTCACTTTAAGTCTATTAAACTGAGAAGTCTAAGTCTGAGTTAGATACATAAGCTAGTTTTTGTTGCAAATTAATATAAAAATTCTAACACCTGGTGGATTTAGAAAGAAGTGACTGCAGTGTTATTTTGGATATAGTCTACCTGGATTAAAATGCAGTGCTTGGTACAGTTTTGGCCTGTAATGCAAAGAATGTGCTTTTCAAGGGAGTTATTTTTATCAAATAGAGACTAAATAGACTTAAAACTGGCTCCAGAATGAAGGTCTCTTTTTCTTATTTTTTTTAAAGGTGCGGCAGCCAATTGGACACAGTTGTTAAAGACTAATGTGACAATTAATATTGCAAAACTGATAATAGCCAAACATGCAGTAATTGAGGTACATGCTCTATCATAATATTGTTGAGAGCACTTGTTAATCTGAAAAATGCAATAATTTCAGGCTAGTAAAAGTCTCTTAATAGTTATCTCTCTATAAATTTAAAAATTAGAACTGAATTTTGTGTGCTCAAGTTGTTGTTTCTGCTCTTTACCAAAAAGTTTCTTAAACTTGTTTAATCTTGATGTTAGTTTTGTTATAAAAGGCAAAATGAAGGCAATAGAAGAATCTGCAAATCAATAATACTACCCTTCAATCACCTCCAGTAAAACTACAGAGAAAATGTTGAATTAATTCAAGTAGAAGTCCCGTTGTCCAAGAGTGTATCAGTTCCTTAAATTGCCTTAGCCTACAAAAGCTTGCTACTTTTTGTCAAGAAAAATCGTCAGCCAGATTGATTCAGTTCTAAAATACAGAAATGTGAGACCGAACTCCAGCCAAAAGATAAAGGTACGATGGAAGGGTGCAATATTTTTGTCTGATACAACTGAAAACTTGGCTGAAAATATTATTATTTTAAAAAGGGCGTGTGTGCTCACACAGCACTATTCTTTCCATGCTACTAAATTCAAATAACTTGTGAGGATGAAGTGAATTAGGATCTCTACTACAGAGGATGTAGCTGTGTTGAAGTAGGTGCCGTCTAATGTTATTTGAATTAATTTGTGGGAATACCACAAATCTAGTTTCATAAATTCATAAATACCTTTGTATACCCCATTTTAAACTGAAATCTCTCTTGGCCTGATGGAAAAAATTTGATATACACATAATTATTTGAGGAAAATATTGGGTGAACACATGCACATCCCAAAGAAGTTTATGCTGATTTCCATGAGGTTAATCTTAGACTTTGGTTTTGTACTACTATGCGTATGTATGAGAAATTACTTAATTCTGTTTTCAATTCTTAAATTCTTATTTAAAACCTGTGGTATTCTGTCTTTATATGTTGTCATCCGTGCCTGGCGATGAATTTTGGATGCATGTGCACCCACACTCTGAGCGCTTGTAGGTTAAAACTGGTTGGAGGTGGGGGTGTATGTGTCATGCAATTGTACTTTTGAAGATATAAAATAAAAGAACATAAACTTCATACTAATCTAAGATTGTGACAAATCAGGAAAAGCAATATAAATGGTAATGGAAAAAGATAGTTTCATGACCTTTTACACATGTGTATTGAGTATTTTCTTGAACCACGTAAAAGTAGATGCTCTTTTACAGTGCATGCTGAAGTGTTCAAGCTTGTATAATTGATCTGAATAGAAATAAATGATGTAATATATGTATCTCCATGAAAATGATACATATTTTCAGTCTCATTTCAGAACACCAAGAAGTTGAATTGCATTTTAAGACACATCTGGAGCGAGTACAGTTCTGTCCCCCACCCCTGCCTGCAGGGCGGTGAGAAGAGAGGTCTCCAGCTAACGTAACGGGATAGCGACCCCCTTCTGGGGCCTTGCAGTCAGCTTTCCCTTTCGCCAGACACTGTCCAATCTACTTTTCCCAGCTGAGAAGCACTGTTCAGTGGTGGGTAGCTCAGTCTGTACATCTAAACGGTGCGGAAAACACTCTTGTTTCCGGCTGTGACCACGGCCTTTCTGGCGGCGGTTCTAAATAGCCAACACCATCTTTAAAAGGTCCCAAGGGACTTGAGTGCACTGGGTATCATGCAGCTTCCTGAAGGCGGTTCTGATACCACCAAAACAAAACACAGGAGTGTTTCTACAGAGGAGTTGCAACATACTGTTAAGTCAGTGTTAAGGCTGGTGTGAGGTTAAGGTACCAAGGCAGAAGGGATGTTCCTTTTGCCAAACTGTCAGGAAGGACAAAGAGCTGCAGCCCCGGGCAAGAGGGCTTCCACTTGGCTGCGTCCTCATCATCTGCTGGTGAAGGAAGGTCAGGAAGGAGCTGCGGCTCCAGGGTTATTCATGTTGGTGAAATCCCAGCGTTGTCTTGGGTTTCTTTTGGGAGTGGAAGGGAGGGAAGCTGCCTCCAACCACAACAGCAAACTGGTGGGTAGCTAAGCAATTCTGCTGAATAATTAGAGGCAATAATTGTAAGGAGCTGCGCAACCATTACGCCCGATTTCATGGAATTAGGTAAAACCTACTGAAGGAGTCTCCTATGAGGGAGGAAATAATTTAGTGAAGGGGACAGGGAGTGAGTCATCAGCTCATTTTGCTCATACAGCAAGCCCTGCTGAAGCTGGTTTTTACTCTTCCATCATCTTCATGCTAAGCTGCAACACTCTTAACATCATCAGCTTGACTGAGGAAGCTGCACTTGCATGTGTTACCTATTTGCAGGTACAGCAAGATTTGGTGAGTGTTGGTCTCTATTGAAGGTAGGTCTTAAAGTATTCAGTTAAAAAATGGGCTCATTTTAGGTCTCATCCCACTGAAAACGGCAGCCACCAGCTCTGTGGTCCCTGTTTCCCCCTGCCCGACCTCGGAGGATGTGCGAGGTGGCCAAGTGTTGAGGAACTCAATGTGCAACAAGCCAGAGACTGTGTCTCAGGCAGCAGCCGTGCAGGGGCTCTCATGGCATGAGGTATTTTTAAAGCCTAACTAGGGCACAGATACAGCCCCCAGGGAGAAGTGTTACCAGCAGAAGAGTAAAAGTGTTGCTCACTGTTGAAAGGAAAAGAACAAGCAGGTCTTCGAGTAGCAGTTTCAATCCTCGTAAACAAACGGTGATGTTTGTGAATTGGGCCTGGGCACACGGATTTACTGAGTTTAAGTTGGCATACCTGCCTTTTATTGTAAGGTGGCTATAAATGGTCAGGATTTTTTTTTTCTTTTGACAGCTAAGAATTAGTGGAGTGTTTTTCACCATTCCTTGGCTTCGCTTTTAGCAAAGTAGGACGATCAGCTGCTGCAGAACAACCCAGACACATTCTTTCTAAATATCTTTTTTTTTTTTTTCACTGATGCTTTAATGAAGATCCACTGTTTTTGAGTGGAACAGGCTTTACTTAAGTCACTTTGATCATCCCTGACAAGGGGGCTCTTGGAGATCTATGTCCATGTACCCCACAAACAAGCAACATTTCTGCATGTTTCAGGATGATTTATTTATTGGCTGGGGGCAATTGAACGCCACTAATAGAGCAAGTTTCAAAGCAAGTTTCTTCATATTTGAATCTGATGTTAGGGAAGGGTGTTCTTGAAGGGGCAACTTCAGTCCACAGGACTTGTTCTGACAGCTCTGCTTTCAGCATCTACTACTTGATTAGATGCATCCTAGAAGTTTATTTGCTCACATCTCAGCTTGGTGTCTGGCGCTACTTCTTTCAAGTCCAGGCTTCACATTAACAGATCTAATATACTAGGGCATTAAAACAAAACAAAAAACAACAACAACAACAAACCCCAAAATACCCCAAGTCTTTCTTGTTAAAGTACCACTTCTTCTAGGTACAAATACATTCCTACAAAGCTCACCCGATTATCTGAGTCTTTTTAAAGTAGCAAATTTCATTTGCTAAGGTAATCATCCTTCTCTTCCTTGGTTTTTAAAATCCTGCGCAGTTGAGGGCTGTGTGTATATATATATTTTAAGATAAGCATAGTCTTTATTATGTGGATTTTAGCAGTTAAAACATTTTGAAGTCTTTCACAATGGAAAAGATTCTCACCCTCAGCCACCACTGAGTCACTTTGCTCCTGTATTTTTGTTCTCATTTGCTGGCTTTTAACTGATATTGATTATTAAACCAAGCTTAACATTAGTTTCTCAATATGCTAAGTGGTTATCTTGAGTAATAACGAATAGTAAAAAATTAGGTTGTGTTTTAGGGATAGCCCAGTCTGTGAAATGATCTGGAGTGGGACATGTAGTTGCTTGTATTAGATCCTCCTGAAGGCTGCGGAGAGCCTAGATTTTATTAGATAGAGTAAATAATGAAATCATACTAAAATGACTGATGTTGAAGAAATACTTTTATTTACAAGAACATGTGTGACAGTTTTGAAATAAAAAAATGGAACAAATCTATTTTTGATTTTCAGTCTGGTTTCAGATGAAGTCTCCAGAGTTCTTGATGTTCTAATTTAGAGATCAAGCCTTTGGCCAAGCTCTAATAATCCCTTAATGTGGTGACATTCTCAGACTTGGAAGCCACACACTGCCTTTTAGTCTCTTTGTACACATAAGATGTTGTATCCCAGTTCAACCAGACCCCCAATAAGCAGCACCCAGAAAGGGATAAATATGTAGACTAGTTTCATGGTAGTAAATCCTTGCAGTTTAGCACAGAGGGCGAGGCAGAAGGCTAATTTGAGCAGCATCGCAATGAGATACCACACTTTCTTCTTCATGTTTTGGGAGCCGTTGCGAGGGTCAAAGCCAGACTTGCAACGTCCAGCCATTTTTACGATGAGCATGACTAGAAGAATAGTGTCAAATATCCAAACGGGAATAAAAATGAGGAACCAGTTCCACGGTGCTTTCTCATCCAACTTCAGCACCAACATGATGAGGAAGAGTAACGTGAAGAGCCATGTCAGCAGCACCCTCTGCGCCAGGGACATTCTCATTTAAACAGCTGGGAGGGGAAGTCCTTCAACAGGCAGCAACAACCTAACGAAAGAAAGGGGAGGGAAGAAGTCAGGCTTACTGCTATACAACCATTATATATATTCCTTAAAAGAGCCTAATTCCTGGGGTTTGCTTTTTCATCTCCCTTATCTTTCCAGTAGTTCTTTTATAATCCCTACTTTCCCTGTGGACTCTGTTCTGGTGCTGTCACCCTGAACTGGCAGTGTGTGGTAGTTGTGTAAACTGCCTCTTACTCTTTGTTTTGTGAAATAAGTGATACTTTAGTCCTAAAGCAGCTGCCAAACAAATTCACTGCCTCCAAGTCCAAGGCACCCGTGGTAGCCTCATAGCCCAATATTAAGTCACGATTCTCTCTAATGAATAATTGCAGTAAAACATAAACTAACCAGTGCAAGAAACCTGGGGTTTGATCCTGCAAACTGCAGAGCTGCAGCTGAAATGACCCAGGCGTCACTGCCGCTCACTGCCCAGCAGCAACCATATATGTTGCCTATAAGGACAACTGTTAGACCACAGGTAAGTACTTACAGGAATGACCCAACATATGCAGATACTCAGACTTGATTTATTGGCTTAGTCGTGTATTTTTCTTCATGACTACATAGAAATTTAAACAAGGACAGCTGCTCTTACACTCCAAATGTTCGTTTCTGTGGTGCTGATATAGATCATGCTTACACCACTGTGTCTGCCAGAAGATTCTCACACTAAGTGTGAAATAACCATCACCTTCTTCAAAGTTGGTTATCCCCCAACTTGAGAATTTTGAGATACACAGACTGGTAATTATATACCACTTGGGCTGTGCTAAAATAAAAATTATTATTCAAACAACTACATTAAATTTCTAAAAATCTCTGGTATTTAACAAAAGCTACTTTTAAAACCTGACTCTTCTTACTTGAAATGAGAAACTGAACTTTGATGTGTTCCAGCTGAGAAGATATTTAAGCTACTTCAGAACAGAGCCTCTCACCGGCAGTATCTAAAATATGCCACAGATAAAGCCAGAACTTATCCATGACCAAAACCTTTACCCTAATTCCACTCTGTCAATGCTTTCTAAAAAAGAATCGGAATTTATTGATTAAAAACAACACTATGGGGCTGATTCCACAAGTGAAGAGTCCTTGTGTTTGTGCATCCTGCAGTGAGATATGTCACTTTCCTGTGTGAGCCCTCTTGCTATAATCCCACAAAAAACAAAGGCACATGGGCACAGAGAGCATTACGTAATAACAGGCACTCAGGAGGATAAAGCCGAGGCCCAGCGTGAGAACACAGAGCCCTGAAGCTGACACCCAGCTCGCAGGGCCAGCCCGTTCGACGTGCTCACGAGCGTGGAACTATTCGCACTGCTCTAACTAACTGGGCTGCTTTTCTGCCCCGTTAACAAGGTGAACGTGGTGGTTCCTTGTCTCAGCTCCGCTCGCGTCGCCAGAGGGGCTGCTGGAGGCCAGTTACTGATGCAACTGGGACACCGTTCCTGGGGAAGGAAGTTTGCTCAACACAGGAGTTAGTGGTTAAGTGAACTGAAAAAAATGAGGAAATTTAGATGATATTACTTTGTTGTTGTTGTTGTTATTACAAGAACTCAGAATATGCAGTGGATATAGGTGATGACGGAACAACTACTATGATCCCTGTAAGTATTTCCAGCATTCAGAAATGCAAGTTCCCGCCTAAACAAGATGTAAACAACCTGAAACCACTTCAGCATTCCTTTTACAAGAGTATTGTGGAAAACTAGATCTGGAAATGGTTGCAGCTGATGCTACAACAAGCAGGACCTCTTATTAAAAAACTGCTGAAAAGCAGAAACCAAAGGAACTGCCCAGAAAATTGTGCCCGAGAGGAAACAGGAATTCAGCGCGGTTACAGGTACCAGGTTCTCAGCTCCTCCGCGCAGGTGCCATCGGGCAGAAAGCAGCTGCCGAGGCCTTAGAGGAGGCTGCTCACTCCGCAGGGTGCTCAGGGCATGAGAAGCTTCTCCTTTTCTAAGGGTTCAGAGCCACTCATAACACATTTGTAAAAAGCACAGACAGAAAATTCACCACACGACGTTATCCTTTCTCAATCTCATGAGTCTTGATCTAATTCTTCCCTCATCCTGCAGCACAGGAAGGAATCACACACCAGCAGGCAACATCCCAGTCAACTCCAGAAACTTTTTTTTTGGATTAAAGTTGAAGAAAATCCAAATGTACTTTTCAGATAGAAAAAAAAAAAAGCCCTAAGAATCCTACAAGAAAAGGAGGCTACAGACCCACAAGTAAAGGAAGGTGCAAACAAACAAACAAACAAACAAAAAAACACCTAAAAAACAAAAATCACCACAAAACCATGACATGTCTGGCTGACATAACCCTAATAGCTTTGATCATGTGCAGCATTTGCCCTTTTTTCATTTGTAAATGGGAGTATTTGCATTTCCTCATCCACAGTCCAGCTACTCCGACAAGGTTAACACTGCAAATAGACAGCACACAAGCTGCTTCCAGGAACCCGCATAATTAGGAAAAAAATGAAAGCGAAAGTTTTCATTAATGAGGATCATTATATAAATAGCTGACCTTGGTGGGACAACCTGCATAATTACAACATTGCAGT